AAGTCGGTGAGTGCGGCCGGGCGGGGCCGGACCGGGACCAGGTCCGGGACGGCGGCGGATGTCGGGGGGCGGCCCGAGCCCGGCGAGCGTCGCCAGCAGGGGAGGGGCCCGGTACGGGGACCCCCCCCCTCTGCTCGGCGCCCTGCCGTGAGACAGGAGCGGGGGCTGACTCGGGGCGCTGGCGGCGGGGGGGTTTCGGCCGCGCCCGGGGCTCGGATGCCTCTGCCGGCGGGACGCGGGGCGGCCGGGACGTTCCGTCCCAGCCGTCCCCAGCCCCTCTCCCTGCGCTCACAGTCTTCCAGACTGGCATGGTGGGCTACCCCGAGGCCCTCACCGACCCCTCCTACAAGGCGCAGATCCTGGTGCTCACCTACCCGCTCGTCGGAAACTACGGGGTCCCCCGGGACGAGACCGACCCCTTCGGCCTCAGCAGGGTGAGAAGGGGGGCCAGGCAGTGGTGCGTGGGGCAGCGTATCCCTGCAGCGGGTGGAACTGCCTGAGGCAGCCGCCCCCAGCGCGTGGCAGGGTGGGACGGCGCAGGGTGCCAGGGCGGGGGAGCGCGGGTCACCGGGGCGGCACGCGGCAGCGGGCGGAGGTTTGACCCCGGTGCCGCAGGGCCCAGAGCCAGCAGCGGGGCCCAGGGTGTTCCAGCCTGCCGTGCTGCCAGGAGGGGACCCGGGCTGGGCAGGGTAGGGGGGGAGACCCCCGTGCAGTGCAATTGGGGTGTCCTCGCAGCGCACAGGGAGCGGAGCCGTGTGTCTGTCCTCGCCGAGGACGGGGGTCCCAGCTGCCTGCTCAAGGCCCCGGACCCCTCCCAGCCCTGCAGCCTCCATGCTGCCTGTCCCAGGGCCACCCCTGCCTCCAGGGCAGAGTCCAGGCCCGGCTGCAGCAGTGCTGTCGGGCCTCCCCGTGCTGACCCTTGGGGGTCTGTCCTGCCCAGCCCTGTCCCACGCTGGTAGGCCAGGAGCCCTCGGCCCTGCACTTGCTGTCAGCAGCCCTCTCTGGGCTGGGGGCGTGTGGGTCCCTGCTGTGGCTCCTGCAGGCCCTGTTCCTGGGAACCAGAGCCCCAGTCCCATGCGACAGGACACACTGGCATGTTTGGGGCTCCCCGGCGAGGCTGTGGCTGGAGGGAGCTGTGCTTTCCCGTGAGCCGGTTTGTGTTGCGGCTGTGCTGAGCTTGAGGGGTCCTGTGGCATGGGCTGTGCTGGCCCCTGGGCAGGGGGCTGCGGTCCAGAAGCACTGGGGGCCCAGGCACCCCATCCTGGGGCTCCCAGGGCTGGGGGCTCACCTGGACCAAGCCTCAACCTCACAGATCTGGGGGTGGGGTGGGGTGAGATGGGGGTAGTTACAGCCTGACATGCCATGTGGGGTGTCAGTGGGAGCTGGTCCTGTGCCCTGTGGGCCAGGGATGGGGTCCTTGTCCCATGAGGCTCCCCTAGCCCTGGGCTGTCGCTGCCCTACCATGCCCCATGGGCATGACCAGGCTGGGCACCTGAGGGGCACTCAGGTTTTCTCCTGGGCTGGTGACCCCATGCCCGGCCATGCTCACCCCCCGCCTCCCCAGTGGTTCGAGTCCAGCAAGATCCACGTGGCTGCGCTGGTGGTGGGCGAGTGCTCGGAGACCCCCAGCCACTGGAGTGTGTCCCGCTCCCTCGACCAGTGGCTGAAGGAGCAGAACATCCCTGGGCTGGAAGGTGGGACTGGGGAGACCATGGGGTCAGGTGTGGGCTGGGAGCTGGGGGTGGCTGTGTGGCGGATGGGGGCTGTGGCCAAGGGGCAGTATGTTCTAGACTAGACCTGTCTCTGTGTTGGGATTCGCCCCCAGGGGGTTGACCCGGTGTTGGCGGTTGGGGGTGATAATGTTGCTGGGGCACAGGGTCCTGCTCAGGGTGGAACGGGGCTGTGGGGTCATGTCTCATGGCTGTCCGCAGGCGTGGATACTCGGGCCCTAACGAAGAAGATCCGTGAGAAGGGGACGCTGCTGGGGAAGCTGGTGCCAGATGGGACCCCTGAGAAAAGCCTCGCCTTTGAAGACCCCAACAAGCGGCACCTGGTACAGGAGGTGTCGCTGAAGGTGGGGCTGGGGGCATGGGTGGGGATGGCAGGGGGGCAGCTGGGGCTGCGGAGTTCCTTGCTGTGGAGCGCTGGCCCTAGGCTGGGGGGGCCAGGGCAATCCACGCTCACCCCTCCCACAGACACCCTGCGTGTTCAACGCCAGTGGGTCACTGCGCATCACGGCAGTTGACTGCGGCCTCAAGTACAACCAGGTGCGGTGCCTGTGCGAGCGGGGGGCGGCTGTCACCGTGGTACCCTGGGACCACCCACTGGACACTGCAGGTGGGGTGGCAGCAGCCGGGGACATCCCAGGGCCCTGCCGAGGGGTGGGGAGATGGGGTCTGGAGCAGGGGCTGTCTCCTTGGCTGGTGCTGGGGGAAGTGGGGAACCGTGTCCTGCTTTGTGCCATGGGGTTGAGGAGCCTTGATGTCGTCCTTCCTGGATGCTTTGGGGCTCGGGGCCCTTGGTGTGACACTACAGGGATGGGGGGAGCATGGGCTCAGGGTGCCTTGCTGTGATTGGGATGGGGGGGCTCTGGACTGTGGTGTCAGGATGCCCTAATGTGACACTGCATGGGGGGCTGTAGGGTGGGCTGTGGGACTGGGGGGCCCTTGCTGTCACCGGGATGGGTGTTATGGGGTCAGATCACCTCAGTGTGACCCTGCTGGGGTGTCAGGGGGCCTGTGGGCTCAGGGTGCCTCGCAGCTGGTAGCTGGGGGGCCCTGCTGTGCCCCTGTGGGGCCTTGGGGAGGCTGGGGGGCCCCACTCTGACCCTGCTGCTGTCTTGACACAGACTTTGATGGGCTGTTCATCAGCAACGGCCCCGGGGACCCGCAGCTCTGCCAGGAGACAGTGTCCAACCTGCAACGGGTGCTGGACGCACCCCAGCCCAAACCCATCTTTGGGATCTGCCTGGGGCACCAGCTGCTCTCCCTGGCCCTCGGCGCCCGCACGTACAAGATGAAGTGAGTGGGGGTCTGGGGTCTGGGTCACTGCGGGGTCCCAGCTGCCTGGGCCTGCCTGACGCCCATCCTGGTGCCCCAGGTATGGGAACCGTGGGCACAACCAGCCGTGCCTGCATGAGGACACACGGCGCTGCTTCATCACAGCACAGAACCACGGCTTCGCAGTGGAGGCGGGCAGCCTGCCACCTGGCTGGGCCCCACTCTTCACCAACGCCAACGATGGCTCCAACGAGGGCCTTGTCCATGAGCACAAGCCCTTTTTCAGGTGGGTGTGGGGCTGTGGCTAGGGGGGCCAGGGGGCATGGGGCCGTGCCCTGCCTGACCCCCTCCACAGCGTCCAGTTTCACCCTGAGCACCGTGCCGGCCCCACGGACCTGGAGGGGCTCTTCGACGTCTTCATGGAGGTGGTGCGGGACCTGCGGAGCGGAGACGGCAGTGCCCGGACGGGTGGGTGCGAGGCAGGAAGGGGCAGATAGGGCTGTGGGACTGGGACCGTGTGTGGGGCTGTGGGGCCAAGGCTGTGCACAGGGGTGCATGTGGCCCCGGTTCCAGAGTGTCCCATCCCTCCACCAGTGCGGGAGCGCCTGCGGGACTGGCTGAGCTATGACGAGGTGCCGGTGGGGGGTCAGGATGTGGCCCGGCCCCGCAAGGTGCTGATCCTGGGCTCCGGTGGCCTCTCCATTGGGCAGGCAGGCGAGTTTGACTACTCAGGCTCACAGGTGAGAGCCCACCCCTGGGATGCGGGGGGCAGTGGGGGTCCCTGTGGGGGGTGGGGACCCGGGGCCGTCTGTCATAATCCCTCTGCTCCTTGTAAGGCCATCAAAGCACTGAAGGAGGAGAACATCCAGACGGTGCTGATCAACCCCAACATCGCCACGGTGCAGACCTCCAAGGGGCTGGCAGACAAGGTCTATTTCCTCCCCATCACCCCGGAGTATGTCACCCAGGTGAGCGCCCCGGGGTGCCAGCTGGGAGGGGGTGGTTTGGGAGGCACAGGGCTGGGAGGGCTGGGGGCTGTTTGGAGAGTAAGAGGGTGCCTGGGGGGCTCCCTGGGGGACTGTGGGCTGGTGGAGGGGCTGATACCTGGGGGGCTGGGGGATGGTGGGAGGGGTACTGGGGGGGCAGCACAGGCACGGTGGCAGCTGGAGGGCAAGGGTGCATTCTGCGGGGCCGCCGTGGGTCCCTGCCCCACTGCCTCGTGCCCCCCAGGTGATCCGGAACGAGCGCCCCGATGGGGTGCTGCTGACCTTCGGGGGGCAGACAGCCCTCAACTGCGGCGTGGAGCTCACCAAGGCAGGCGTGCTGGAGCGGTACCACGTGCGGGTGCTGGGCACCCCTGTCACTTCCATCGAGATGACAGAGGATCGCAAGGTCTTTGTGGAGAAGATGGAGGAGATCGGGGAGCACGTGGCACCCAGCGAGGCCGCTGCCTCCCTGGAGCAGGTCCAGGAGTGGGATGGGGGGTGGTCGTGGGGCAGGATGGGGGGGCAGCTCCCGGGCAGGGTGCTGTCCTCCATGCTCCCATCGTGACCCTGTTGCTCTCCACAGGCGCAGGCAGCAGCAGAGTCACTGGGGTACCCAGTGCTGGTGCGCTCTGCCTATGCCCTCGGGGGTCTGGGCTCTGGCTTCGCCAACAACCGGGAGGAACTGGTGGCACTGGTGAGCCAGGCCTTCACCCACACCTCCCAGGTCCTGGTGGACAAGTCCCTGAAGGGCTGGAAGGAGATCGAGTATGAGGTGGTGCGGGATGCTTACAACAACTGTGTCACGGTACGGGATGGGGGAGGCCCCCCCAGGCCTGCTGGGGGGGAATTGATGGAGGAGTTGGGTGCTGGGGGGGCGTGGGGTCAGGGGCTCCTGCTAGACCCTCTCCCCAGGGAGGGCTCCCCAGCCCCTCCTGTGGTGCCGGCACGGCTGCTGTGTGCCACCGGGAGCTGTGCCCCTTGACGCCCTGTGCTGGGTGGGGGCTGCAACACGTGGGGTGTCCCGGGGGCTCGTGTTCAAGCCCTGGCTGTGCAGGGAAGCCCCCGTCGGTCCCCAGGGCAATGGAGCAGGTGGTGGGAGACAGGAGGGACTCGCCTGGGGCAGCAGCGGCCAGAACCATATGCAGGCAGTGTGTGGGGTGGTCGGGAGCCCAGCAGCCTGCGGTGACCCCCGCTGCTGCCAGGTATGCAACATGGAGAACCTGGACCCACTGGGGATCCACACGGGCGAGTCCATCGTGGTGGCACCCAGCCAGACCCTTAACGACACCGAGTACTTCATGCTGCGGCGCACAGCTGTGAAGGTGGTGCAGCACCTGGGCATTGTGGGCGAGTGCAACATCCAGTTTGCCCTGAACCCCGAGTCGGAGCAGGTGAGCGCTGCCCTTCCCCAGCCTGGCTGCCCTCATGTTTGGCCCCCATCGCTATTTGTGCCCTCCACATGCTAGCAGCCTTCCGGTGCCAGCCGAGCACCAGGCCCCAGGGAGCCGCATGGCTGGCACCTGGCCTCGTGCCATGGGGGCCACGTCCCGTGCCACCCCACTAACCCTGCCTGCCTGCTGCCTGCAGTACTACATCATTGAGGTGAACGCCCGGCTCTCCCGCAGCTCGGCCCTGGCCAGCAAGGCCACCGGCTACCCCCTGGCCTATGTGGCTGCCAAGCTGGCCCTGGGCATCCCCCTGCCCCTCCTCAGGTAACAGCACTGCTGCAGTGCGGGACGGGGTGCTGCCCCAGCCAGCTTCACACCCCCCACTTTGGGACAGCCCTGGCCACTGACGCCCTGTCCTCTCCCCAGGAACTCTGTCACCAACTCCACCACAGCCAACTTTGAGCCCAGCCTGGACTACTGCGTGGTGAAGATTCCGCGCTGGGACCTCAGCAAGTTCCTGCGTGTCAGCACCAAGATTGGCAGCTCCATGAAGAGCGTGGGTGAGTGCGGGGCGGGCGAGCAGCACAGGTGGGCAGCATGGCGGGCGCGGTGTCTGGCCGCTCATGGCCCCATCCGCAGGGGAGGTCATGGCCATTGGGAGGAACTTCGAGGAGGCTTTCCAGAAAGCGCTGAGGATGGTGGACGAGAACTGCGTGGGCTTTGACCACACTGTGAAGCTGGCCTCAGATGTGGTGAGCTCCGGGGCTTGGGAAGGCATGGGAGGGTCTGGGGCAGAGCACAGTCCTGGGGAGGAGGCAGCCATCTACCCCCCACCTGGCCCCACTCAACCCCCTGGCCTGGCAGGAGCTGGAGACACCGACAGACAAGCGGATCTTTGTGCTGGCGGCCGCACTGCGGGATGGCTACTCCATCGAGCGGCTCTACAAGCTGACCAAGATTGACCGCTGGTTCCTGCACAAGATGAAGAACATCACAGACCATGCGGTGCTGCTGGAGTCCTACCGTGAGGAGCAGAGCACCATGCCGCCCGCTGTGCTCAAGCGGGCCAAGCAGCTTGGCTTCTCTGACAAGCAGGTGGCCCTGGCTGTGCTCAGGTAATGTGGGGAGGGGGCGGCCCCGCTCTGTGCCCTAGCCTGCATCCTGGTGCTCACCCTGCCCCTCACAGCACCGAGCTGGCTGTGCGGAAGATGCGGCGTGACCTGAAGATCCTGCCAGTGGTGAAGCAGATTGACACCGTGGCAGCGGAATGGCCGGCCCAAACCAACTACCTGTACCTGACCTACAATGGCACCGAGCACGACCTGGCCTTCCGCGAGCCCCATGTCATGGTCATCGGCTCCGGCGTCTACCGCATTGGCAGCAGTGTTGAGTTCGACTGGTGCGCTGTTGGCTGCATCCAGGAGCTCCGCAAGGTTGGCTAGACCCTGGCACCCTGCGGGGTCAGTTGGTCAGGCATCCCTGGTCAGAGGATGGAGCTGGAGAGGAGTGGGGGCCTCTTGGCCTCACCTCATCCCACTCCCCTGGCAGATGGGCTTCAAGACGATCATGGTGAACTACAACCCCGAGACAGTGAGCACTGACTATGACATGTGCGACCGCCTCTACTTTGATGAGATCTCCTTTGAGGTGAGTGGGACTGGGGACCTTGCCCACTGTGGGGCTGAGGCAGGGTGAGGGCTGCCGTGGCCCCTGTCCCAGCCATCCCCCCGCCCCACACAATGTCGCAGGTGGTGATGGACATCTATGAGCTGGAGAATCCTGAGGGTGTGATCCTGTCCATGGGTGGGCAGCTGCCCAACAACATCGCCATGGCCCTGCACCGGCAGCAATGCCGCATCCTGGGCACCTCCCCGGAGGCTATCGACTCAGCCGAGAACCGCTTCAAGTTCTCCCGCCTGCTTGACTCCATTGGCATCAGCCAGCCCCTCTGGAAGGAGCTCTCTGACATGGAGGTGGGGGGCTAATGAGGGTGATGGGGCTGCCCTGGGGGGGACCAGCCCTTGGCAAGTCCTCTGAGGGTGCCATCTCTCCTCCAGTCGGCCAAGCACTTCTGCTGCAAGGTGGGGTACCCCTGCGTCGTGCGCCCCTCCTACGTGCTGAGCGGCGCTGCCATGAATGTGGCCTACTCGGATAGTGACCTGGAGAAGTTCCTGAGCAATGCCGTGGCTGTGTCCAAGGAGCAGCCCGTCGTCATCTCCAAGTTCATCCAGGAGGCCAAGGTCCATCCAGGAAGCTGCTCCAGCCCCCGGGCACCCCTGCTCCCCACAAGAGCCTGGTCCCCTGCCTTGGTGCTGGTGCCGGGCTGTGACTGTATTCCTGCTCACAGGAGATCGATGTGGATGCGGTGGCCTGTGATGGTGTGGTGGTGGCCATCGCCATCTCGGAGCATGTGGAGAACGCTGGGGTGCACTCGGGTGATGCCACGCTGGTGACGCCACCCCAGGACATCACCTCTAAGACACTGGAGCGCATCAAGGCCATCGTCCATGCCGTCGGGCAGGAGCTGCAGGTCACGGGGCCCTTCAACCTGCAGCTCATTGCCAAGGTACCTCAGCCAGGGGGTGCTGCACCAGCTGGTGTGGTGCCATGTGGGAGGATACCCTTCAGGCCAACACGAGCCTCATGCTGTCCCCTCTTCCCCAGGATGACCAGCTGAAGGTGATCGAGTGCAACGTCCGGGTCTCCCGCTCCTTTCCCTTTGTCTCCAAGACCCTGGGGGTGGACCTGGTGGCTCTGGCTAGCCAAGTGATCATGGGAGAGGACGTGGAGCCTGTGGGTCTAATGACAGGCACGGGCATCGTTGGTGTCAAGGTGGGGGCTGCAGGGGCTGGGCTGGGGCACATGGCTGGGCTGGGGTGCGTGGGCTGGTCAGCCTTTGAGACCACCCCTGCCCCCAGGTGCCCCAGTTCTCCTTCTCACGCCTGGCGGGCGCTGATGTGGTGCTGGGTGTGGAGATGACCAGCACAGGCGAGGTGGCCTGCTTTGGGGAGAACCGCTGTGAGGCTTACCTGAAGGCCATGCTCAGCACTGGCTTCAAGATCCCCAAGAAGAACATCCTGCTGACCATCGGCAGCTACAAGGTGCGTGGGGCTGGGGTGGGGGCTGAGGCAGGGGCCAGGCCCCCCCCTCCACCCTCTGATTGTCCCCGGGGTCGTTGCAGAACAAGAGTGAGCTGCTGCCCACGGTGCGGACCCTGGAGAGCCTTGGCTACAAGCTGTATGCTAGCCTCGGCACTGCAGACTTCTACACTGAGCACGGCATCAAGGTTGGGGCCGGGGGTCCGGCAGGGGCTGGGGGCACCCTCGGGGGAGGCATGGGGCCCTGATGGGTGTCACTGCTGGCAGGTGATGGCCGTGGACTGGCACTTTGAGGAGGCGGATAGCAGTGAGGCCGGTGCCCGGGAGACCCAGCGGAGCATCCTGGACTACCTGGCTGAGAACCACTTTGAGATGGTCATCAACCTCTCAATGCGCAACTCGGGGGGCCGCCGGCTCTCCTCCTTTGTCACCAAGGGGTACCGCACCCGGCGCCTGGCCGTCGACTACTCTGTGCCGCTCATCATCGACATCAAGTGCACTAAGCTCTTTGTGGAGGTGAGCTGGCATGCGTGGGATGTGGGTGCAGGTGAAGGGAGCAAAGCAGGGGCTGGGGTAGGAAAGTCCTGTTGTGGATACTGTGGGGTGGGTGCCGTACATGGGTATTGTGGGAGGGTCGTTTTTGGGGTGCCACTCAGGCAGATGTCCTCATCCTGGCCCCATTCCTGAACCCTGGCCCCACGTGCCCCTGCAAGATGGGTCCTGCCTCATGGTTGCTGTCTCTGCAGGCGCTGGGCCAGATTGGGGCAGCCCCCCCGCTGAAGATGCACGTGGACTGCATGACATCCCAGAAACTCATCCGTCTGCCAGGTAGGGAGTGCTGGGGCCTCCCAGGGTGCAGCATGGAGCTGAGGCAGTGCCGGAGGCCAAGCTGGCCACATCCGAGGGCACTGTGGGGAAAGGAGACATTTCCCTGCGCTGCCAGGGTGTCCAGTGTTCCCTGTGGCCAGGGGCTGCCTGTGCTGACGCTGCCCCGCTCCCCAGGCCTGATCGACGTCCATGTCCACCTCCGTGAGCCGGGCGGCACTCACAAGGAGGACTTTGCATCCGGCACGGCAGCCGCCCTGGCTGGGGGTGTCACCATGGTGTGCGCCATGCCCAACACCAACCCTGCCGTCACCGACGCCACCTCCTTTGCCCTGGCACAGAAGGTGAGGGGCTGCCACTGCCCAGCCCCATGGTCACGTTCCCTCCCCGGGCACTGCGGTGCCAGCTATGGTGCGCCCGCTGCTCATGGGCTGGCCCTGGCCTGGCACCCACCGCCTCTCACCCCTGCAGCTGGCTGAGGCTGGGGCCCGCTGTGACTTTGCCCTTTTCCTGGGGGCTTCCTCGGAGAACGCCAGCTCGCTGGGCCCCCTGGCCGGGGCGGCTGCCGGGCTTAAGATGTACCTGAATGACACCTTCTCCAGCCTGCGGATGGACGACGTGTCGCTGTGGATGGAGGTGAGCTGCTGCGGGCAGGGGCTGACATGGGGCTGGAGCTGGCTCCTGGCGCCAGTGCCCACCAGCCCCGTACCCGCCCCCAGCACTTTGAGCAGTGGCCGCGGCACCTGCCCGTCGTGGCGCATGCGGAGCGGCAGACGGTGGCCGCTGTCCTGATGGTGGCCCAGCTGTACCAGCGTCCCGTGCACATCTGCCATGTGGCCCGCAGGGAGGAGGTGAGCAGCAGGGCACAGGGACATGGTGAAGGGACTGTGGGCCCCAGGAATGGGGTGCAGGGCTGTTTGGGGGCCCCCCCTCACTGCGGCTCCTCCAGATCATCCTCATCAAGGCAGCCAAGCAGAAAGGGATCCTGGTGACGTGCGAGGTAGCCCCACACCACCTCTTCTTGTGCCGGGATGACCTGGGGCGCCTTGGGGAGGGCCGAGCAGCCGTGCGGCCAGTGCTGGGCACCCGCCAGGATGTGGAGGCGCTCTGGGAGAACATGGACACCATTGACTGCTTCGCCACAGACCATGGTGAGCCCTGGGGGATGGCAGCTGTGGGGCGGAAGCATGGGCTGGGGGCAGCAGTGGGTCCCACAGTAACCAGCCCTGTCCTGCAGCCCCCCACACGCTGGAGGAGAAGCAGGGGCAGGAGCCGCCCCCCGGCTACCCCGGCCTGGAGACAATGCTGCCGCTGCTGCTGACGGCCGTCTCGGAGGGGCGGCTCACCGTGGAGGACATCGTCCAGCGCCTCTACGAGAACCCCCGCAAGATCTTCGGGCTACCGGCGCAGGAGGACACCTACGTGGAGGTAGGTCCCTGCCCACCCAGCCCAGATCTGGCCCCAGCCTTGCTGCCTCTGACCCACTGTCCTGGCAGGTGGACCTGGAGCATGAGTGGATCATCCCCAGCCGCACAGCCTTCTCCAAGGCCCGCTGGACGCCCTTCGAGGGCATGAAGGTGAAGGGGACGGTGCGGAGGGTGGTCCTGCGTGGGGAGGTCGCCTACATCGATGGGCAGGTAAGGCCCCGGGTACCCTTCCCCCTGTATCTAGGGGTCCCCTCCCAGCACTGGGGTCCCCCAGCACTGACACCATCGCCCCCATGGCTGCAGGTGCTGGTGCCCCCTGGCTACGGGCAGGACGTGAAGAAATGGCCCTCGGGAGCTGTGCTGGCATCACACGCAGCCCCTGCCAAGGAGAGCACGAAGGTACCGGGGTGCATGGAGCTGGCGGGGTGGGGGTCCTTGCCCTGTCCTGCCCTGGCTTCAGCTCAGTCTCTCATTGCAGACCCCTGAGCGGCCCCGGCATGTCGTGGCAGCCAGCGAGATGCTGCGTGGCCGAGCCTCCAGCCCCCGCCGGGCCGGCCCCGCGGGCGAGGGACGCTTCCACCTCCCGCCCCGCATCCACCGGGCCTCCGACCCTGGGCTGCCAGGTAGGGGGGCAGGTGGCGTGGCATGGTGGAGCGTGGTGGGCGGGCGGCAGGGCAGCGAGCGTGCCGCCCCAGGGCCGGGTCTGGGGCCGCGGCTGGGCGGCCCCGCTGACGCCGGCCCTTGTGTCCCGTTCAGCGTTCCGGAGGCTGGGAGCTGTGCACCGCCCGGGCACCCGAGGCACTGGTAATGTCGGGGGGGGACTCACTCAGACAATGAGACGCGGCCGTACTAATGGCACTAACCGCAGCCGATGAGTGCATCCCCTCCCCCAGGTGCCACGCTGGGCTCGGGCTGCCCGCTCTGCCCCGGCACGGGCCCCTTTCTGCACCGTGTGATGGGGCCGGGCACCATGGGACAAGGCATGGCTGTGCCTGCCTGCCCCCCTCCTGCCCCAGCCCGCGCGGCACCTCGGGGACCCCTCGCCTGCCAGTGTGATTTGGGTTGCGTCCGATCGGGTTTTGTGGGGTGTGTGGGGAGAGGGGCACAACACCATGCTGGGGCTTGGCCCACCCCGTCTCTGGGTTGCTATGGCCCTGGTGTTGGGCCCCACGGTGCTTTTGCCCGGTGCAGCCAAATGCCGGGAGGGCTGTGCCACACCGGCGGCACCCTGGGAGAGCGGGGCCCAGGGTGCCATAGCTGCCTGCACCCTCTAATGCCACTGCTCCCCTCTCCCACCCCAGCTGAGGACGCCCGTGAAAAGGCCGGCAGGAAGGCGGTGGAAGCAGGTGAGTGCTACAGGGGTCCAGGGGCCCACGGCGGGTGGGCTGGGTTACGCGGCACCACTCCTGCGGGCTGTCTGACTGGCTGCTCTTGGTGCTGCAGATCCAGCTGTGATCCAGGACAGCTACTTCTACCCGCTGGGCCCTCTCCCACGCCAGGCATCCCCCCAGGGCACACCCCACTTCCAGACCTCCCAGACCTCCCCGCTGCTGCACCCCCTCGTTGGCCAGCATGTCCTCTCTGTCCAGCACTTCTCCAAGGACCAGGTGCCTGGGCTGGCAGTGGGTGCTGGGGCTGTGGGCACCCAGATGGTTACGGGGGGTGCAGGGACTTGTGCGCGTCAGCCAAGTCTTGGTGCTGTGCATGCCCCGGCTGAGCCGCCTCTGCCTGCAGATGTCGCATCTGTTCAATGTGGCACACACCCTGCGCATGCTGGTGCAGAAGGAGCGGAGCCTGGACATCCTCAAGGTGAGCTGGACATGGGGCAGCTGCCTGGCAGCCCGCGTGAGACCATGGGAGCCCTGTGCCAGGCATGAGTGCCCCGGGCTCCCCAAGGTGACAGTGTGGCCTCTGCAGGGCAAGGTGATGGCATCCATGTTCTATGAGGCGAGCACGCGGACCAGCAGCTCCTTTGCGGCAGCCATGAGCCGGTTGGGTGGCTCTGTCCTGTCCTTCTCGGAGGCCACCTCGTCAGTGCAGAAGGGCGAGTCACTGGCCGACTCCGTGCAGACCATGTGCTGCTACGCCGACGTGCTGGTGCTGCGGCACCCCCAGCCTGGTGCCGTTGAGGTGAGAGGGGTTGGCGGGGCCGTCTCCTGCCTGTGGCGGGGCTGGGGGGCGGCTGTGTCCCACCCTGAAGGTGTCAGGGGTTGCTGCTGCGATGGCGGGGATGGTGACCTGCACTATGGGGCAGGGCCATGTTCCGCAGCAGGGCAGGCTGGGCAGGTGTCAGGAGCAGGAGCCAGGTCCTGCCTCCGGGGGGGCTGTGGTCCTGCCTGTGCTCAGCCCTGCCTGTGCACCCAGCTGGCTGCCAAGCACTGTCGCAAGCCTGTGATCAATGCCGGCGATGGGGTGGGGGAGCACCCCACGCAGGCGCTGCTGGACATCTTCACCATCCGTGAGGAGCTGGGTACCGTTAACGGCATGACGGTAAGGCGCTGGGGGCTGGGGGGGGGGCCACAGCCACCCCTACCATGGTGCTGTGGGGATGAATGGCCTTGTCTGGGGCCGGGGGGGCTGTTGGGGCCCCACGGCACTGTGTCAGGCTGACCGCTCTCCCCAGATCACCATGGTGGGCGACCTGAAGCACGGGCGCACGGTGCACTCCCTGGCCCGCCTGCTCACCCAGTACCGCGTCAACCTGCGCTATGTGACCCCACCCGGCCTCCGCATGCCCCCCGACATCACCAGCTTCGTGGCCTCCAAGGGCATCAAGCAGGTGAGCAGGCAGGGTGAGGCGGCCAGGGGCCCCCGTCGTTGTCCCCCCCGGCCCCACTGACGTTGTCTCCCCAGGAGGAGTTTGGGAGCATTGAGGAGGCGCTGCCGGACACCGACGTGCTCTACATGACCCGCATTCAGAAGGAGCGCTTCCGCCTGGCAGAGGAGTACGAGGCTGTGAGTAGGGGGTAGCGGGAGGGGACCCCAGGTCTTGCCCCGGTGTGAGGGCAGCAGCCTCCTGCCCTCTGCAGGGTGAGAGCTGCCCTGCCTGGAGCTCAGGGCTCTGTGTTACCCCCCGCACCCCCGCAGTGCTTCGGGCAGTTCATCCTCACGCCCCACATCATGACCCGGGCCAAGGAGAAGATGGTGGTGATGCACCCCCTGCCCCGTGTCAACGAGATCAGGTGAGGTTGGGGGGTGGGATGGGGGGGGCCGCAGGGTTG